GGCCCAGGCGCTCCCGGGGTAATGGTCTCAGAGGGGATCTGACCATGGGTTTTAAGAGGCTACTATGGAACGCCGGGTGTATCTTCCCCAGCAATCGAGGCAGTTTCAATTGCACCATGACTGGGTTGATGATCTTTGGGGAATGGTGCCATAAACTTCAGCCCCAGTTTCTTGCTAGAGAGTTTTAATCTCAAATATTTTGTGGAGAGGTAAACCTTCTCTCCCACCCGGAATGGCTGTTGTGGAGCCCGGTGTTCATCTGCCTGTTTCTTATAGGTTCAAAGTAGTGAGCGGCATGGACTTCGTCCCAATGCCTGAGTATCCAAGGGATCACCCCTCCTCAGTCAGTTTGACTGATTGGATGTCGATGCTGAAAGCAACCTGGGAAAATGTCAAAAAAGCGCTCATTAAAGCGATACGAACCTATAAGAAACAGGCAGATAAACACCGGGCTCCGCAGCAGCCATTCCGGGTGGGAGAGAAGGTTTACCTCTCCACAAAATATTTCAGATTAAAACTCCCTAGCAAGAAACTGAGGCCAAAGTTTATGGTACTATTCCCCAAAGTAAAGATCATCAATCCAGTCACAGTGCAATTGAAACTGCCTCAACTGCTGGGGAAGATACACCCGGCGTTCCATAGTAGCCTCTTAAAACCCATGATCGGATCCACTCTGAGACCACTACCCCGGGAGACCCTGGGCCCTGTAGTCATAGGGGGGCAAACCCATTATGAGCTTCAACGGGTCCTTAATTCAAGGTGGCACAGGCAACAACAATACTTAATCAAGTGGGAGGGCTATCCCTTATCTTGGGTAAAAAGTAGGCATCTTGGGTAAAAAGTAGGAATATCCAGCCTGATCACCTTATAGCAAAATTCCATGCAGAAAATCCAGGCAAGCCTGAGAGAGTAATGCATCCCTAAATTATATACCTGTACTCAAATTGTTTTTGTGTAAAGTGCAAAGACCATTAACCGGAGATCAGTTTCGGCTCCGCAGAAGAACATGCCAAAATGTTGATCCTAATAAATGACTGGATTTCTTTTGAACGTTGTCTCGAGGCTCGTAAATTAATTAGGTCAGCTTTTGGAAACTTCACATCAGGGCAGCTACTAGATGCTAAATGGGGCCAAAGCCCCAATTGCATTTTATTCAAAACATTATCAGCGGTAGAAGAAAAGTACAGCCAGTTGGACAAGGAAGCATTGGCTGCAGTTGTTGGGGTCAAGCAGTTTTATGAATACTTATATGGCAGACACCTTGATCTAATTACTGACCACCAACCACTCTTGAGTATTCTTGCAGGGAACCGCCCTACCCCGAACATTTTATCTCCCACAATGATGAGATGGACAATATTCATGGCAGCATATCGGCTAATTTACCGGCTGGGCAAAGACATAAGTCACGTCGACACCCTCATCCACTGCCAACTTCCAGACCTCGTAGAAGATCCAACCCCATTGCACACATACCACTAATTGAGGACTTTGCATCCGGTCCAGCCACCTCGGCTGAGATAGCGGGACACTAAACAAAGGACAAAACTCTATCACAAATTCTGAACTGGGTGTGAAGGGGCTGGTGGGGGATGATTTCAAACCATTTATAGCAAGGCAACACAAATTGGCAGCCCAAAAGGGGTGCCAATTGTGGGGGGATTGAGTGGTTGTTCCCTAGAAACTAAGGAAACAAGTACTAGAGTCACTACATGTGGGGCATCTGGGCATAGTACAAATGAAGTGGCTAAATATAGACAGGGACACAATGGAGTGGATCAATACATGTAATCCATGTCAGGTATCCAGACCAGCTCTACCAAGGGCACCCTTGGGAGAATGGGAGACAGCCAAAGCATCTTAGTTGTGGGTGCACATTGTTTTTGTGGGACCAGTACAAGATCAAATATTCCTAATAGTTGTAGATGCATACTCAAAATGGCTTGAGGTAATAATTATGACTACAACAATGGCTGAAGGTATTAAGGAGACTTTTCTCCACCCACAGCCTTCTGAACGTTCTGGTCTCCGACGACGGGCTCCAAATCACAGCAAACCAGTTTGAATTATTTCTAGCAGAGCATGGCATCCAACATGCCCTTGTCTCGCCTTTCCATCCATTGAGTAATGGTCAGGAAGAAAGAAGGTGCGGTAACCAAGGAAGTGTTAGCTAGAATGGGCTTCAGAGACTGGCAAACTAAAACAGACACATTTCTCCTAGCACAGTACATAACACCGAGCACCGCCAGTTAGACTTAGTCTGGCTTTTAAATAGAAATTACAATACTGTGAGCCCATTGGTCAAATTGATCGGCGGGAAAATAAAGAAATCTTAGTGGCTAGGCTGCCTGACAGCTCCCTTTAAAAGAGGGAGCTGTGGGAGAGCCTGTTCACTGTACCAGTCTCCTAAATAAAGAACTAAAGTCTCTATGCTAGTCCTGTCTCTTCATTCAGCCCTAACTTAATATTCTCCAAGCAGACAAAAAGGAGGTGGGATGGATAAGAAGAGCTACAAACAAACAACTGGAGAAGCCCTAAATTCTCTTCCTGTCAAGACCAGCCCCAAACGTCACGGCACACGCCCAAAAGTCCTTCTCTTGAGCACCAGATAAGCTCATGACCCACGTGCCCAGTTTCCAATCATCATCATTCTTCCTTCTGCCTTCTGCTGTTTGCTGGCTGGCTGCTCCACGAAGGTTGGGGGGTTCTTTCGGGGCTCAGACCTTGAGGAGCTGCCTGCTTTCACTGAATCCCCACTCCAAAGCAGAGAAGACCAGCCTGGCTCACAGCAGCAGCCCCCTCCAATGACCTACAGACATCCATGCCATCCTCTTGTAGCTCAACCAAAAAGGAGAGTTGGGTATCTGCTGTGTCAAGAAGGCCTGAAGGTGCCTGGTTCATCTGCAATGGACCTTCTGTCCTTTGGCTTGGGAGAGAGAGGGAGATGAGATCTCCCCCAACTCACAACAGGGATGCGGGCATGAAGCACTTAAGAGTTTGAGGGAGGAGGATCTGGCACAAAGGCCACATGCATGATACAGAAGTGGGGAACTGCCAAAGGTTGGGGGAAGAGAATGTGGGCTGGCTGAGACAGCTTTAGATGGGAGCTCCGGGCTTGCTGTTTGCTTCCTGCTTCCCATACAGAACCATCATGACCATCCAAGGAGGAGCAGAAAGCAGAATGCCAAATCACAGCTCCTAATGGGAGGCTCAGGAGAGAAATCCTAAAAGGTGCAGTTCAGCCCTCAGAGGGAGCCAACTACCCAGAACATTAAAGATCTACTCTATTCACAAAAGTGTTCAATAAACTTTGGAATGCTTAAAACCACTTGATCAGGAAAGGTCAGTTTCACCCGTAAGACCATCTTGCCTGATGAGAAGTTTTGAGTACTCAGAAGTTGGCTTGCTGCCCAGGACCATGGGGACTGGATGGGGCTTCCAAGGCAACCCCAATCAGAACCCTTAAGAGCAATGCTACTCAAAGTGCTGCAATTCGAGTCCAGCAACCAGCCCAGAAGATCCTTTTGGTGCAGATGCAGAGGCCAAAGTACGCTCTCCTTCCTTCTGAAGGGGGGTTTCTTTCAAAAGGACCCCACCTTGGAGGTGGCTATCAAGATGCTGTCAGCTGTCACCTCTGCCTCCGCCCAGAACCAGCAAGCAAAGCCCAGGCTCACCTTGGCCCCCTGGATACATGCAGCGGAAGGCTCGGCCCAGCTCCTCCGCTTGCACTCGGCCAGCAGGGGTCAGCTCGCCCCCCCACTTCAGCACCAAGAGCAAAGATGGGGAGGCTTCCTTGAGATCTGCACACAGAGAGAACGAGAGTCATTTCCTCCTGCCAGGGCTGGGACAGAATGGCAATGACGCTTAGACTTACAGTATATTCCGCTTCACAGTGCTTCACAGTATTCTCTGACCGGTTTACAAGCCTCTTGCCCCCAACAATTTGTGTCCTCATTTTACCCACCTCAGAAAGATGGAAGGCTGAGTCAACCTTGAGCTGGTGAGACTTAAACTGCCAAACTTCTGGCATTTGGCAGTCATCAGAAGTAGCCTGCAATATTGAATTCTAACCACTATGCCACCACAGCACTTGAATGAAGACCTACTGCCCATTCCTCAACCTCCAGACCAGAGCAGAGGGGCAAGAACTGGGGAAACCAGATGAGAGGAGGAGAGGAGGTTGCTAGGGGCCTCTGAGACCTGGAAGCTGCACAAAAGTAGGTGAGTTCTGCCCCCCTTCCCCATCCTCTTGTCTTTGGCACTTTCCCCCTAAGTGGGGATTGTTTGGCAAGTGCAGTGGGGGAGAACAGTAGCTGCCCTTCTTCACAAGGGTTGGCATTTCAATTGAAGCTATATCAGTTTACATTCTTAATTTCCTCATTGCATGAATGAATGAAAGTGATCTCCATTTGCCCACCACCCAGAATGCCCCTCCTTGTGTCTACAGATGCGTGCATGCAATCAGGGTCTTTATCCTATGAAATTGGTAGGGCTCACCCGCAACCCTGCAGGGCTCTCCTGCAACCAGGCCTCTTCCCCAACAACTGCCTTCATGCCCCCCCCCCCACAAGACCCCAATACTTGCCTTCTTCCTCACTGGAAGCCTTCAGATGCCCATGAGGCAGGTAGGTCAATTGCACTTTGCGGTTGATTCCAGAGAAGTGTCCGTACCTGCCAGAATAACAAAGGGCCACCATTCTGGGCATGAAACCTCTGGCTTTACCCGCCACAACTGAAGTGGAGAAGCTGCAAGGGCACCCAACTGCCTCCCTCCTGCCCAGGGTTCTGTTGTGGTGTAGGAGGAAGTGTCCTCAGTCAGAGGGAGTCCACTCTTTCTGGGGACATGCGAGAAAGTGCAAGAGTTGTTTGCAAGGTTGACCTTACTCTCCCAGAGGTTTTTTGGGGGGGGGCAGAGGGGCCATGGAGACAAATCCCTGCTCACATCTCCAACACGGTCTTGAGCTGCTCCAGTTTTGACTTCTGCTCCTCGGCCACCGCATCCCCGAGAGCACTCTGCTCCTGCACTAGCAGCCGAGCAATGTCCAGCACCTCCTATTGGGGCAAAGGCTTGCTCAGGTTTGTGGAGCCAAGGACTCTAGGAATCAAAGGCACAGGTTCCTTAGCCACATCTGTCATCCCCCTCAGGGGACACCTGTCCAAGAAGACTGACCAATGGAGGGTGAGAGCTTCACCTGCATGGCTCCTCTGGGACCAGAGGGAGCCTCAATCTCACCTGAAGCTGCTCTGGCTTTTTCAGTTTCAGCTTCCCAGTCTTGTAGCCCTCGTATTTTTCAAATAGAACAAAGAATCTGGCAATGGCAGAAGCAGAAGCAAAGCAGGTTATTGACATTAGTGGTTGTTGGCTACATTTATGCATGTCCTTTCTTGGGAGCTCATTTTGTCCTGGAACTTTTTTGTCCTGCAGAAGACACCCAGAACTCTACCATACCTGGGATGCTTCACTTCCATCTTCATCTTCTGTTTGGGGGTCCGATCACCATGCCTTATAACTGCAATCACACACCGTAGCTCCATCCTGCAAGAGAGATGCTTGAGCTCATAGGATGCCCCCCACCCCTCATTCCTTTCTACAATGGCCAACACGTAGGGGATCCCAAGGTCTCCTTTGACCAGGACATCTCAGCCATGGACCTGGGAAGCCAAAGCTGAAAGGACTCTCCTATCAGAATGCTATCCACGCAGGAAGGAAAAGCCTTGCATGGACTCCCCTTCTTTGAGCTCTGAAAACAACGCAACTGTGGCAGAGAATGCAAGACCCATGTGTGCATCCTAAGTAGATCTCTAATTGGAAGCAAGCTAATCAGCCTGCAAGAAGGATTCTCTGCACCAAGGCTTTAGAGATAAAGGAGAAGCAGCCTTCTGCACAGCACCAGCTGTGAATGGGGGCAAAGCAGAGGTGAGTTTTTAATCTTCTGCCACAGACCTATTTACAGGCAACTGTGCCACACGCAGAGCACGGGCAAACCGTGCACACAGCGAACCAGCAGTAATGCTGGCAGCAACCCACCCCTGGGGCAAAGGTGCTGAGACTGAGAAACTGCTGCCTTAATTAAAACCAGGCAAAGATTTTATTTTAATCCAGAGCTTGAGGTGCTATTTCATCTTTCTTAGTTTAGAAATGTGAAGATGGCTCTAAGTGTAGAACAAGACAGGAAATGTTATAAATAATTGGAAAATTCAGTGCTATCACTCAAAAGTAACAACACAAAAGAAGAAATGCCAGATAATTTAGTGGAGAAACTATCAAGTGCCATAAAATCAATGAAAAATAGCAAAGCTTCAGGAAATGACTGTTACGGTTGAAACGCTGAAAGTTGGTGATCACAGTTTACATAAGATACTAACAAAACTATATTTGAGATGCCTCAAAAAATATTCAATGCATGGAAAAATACTTCTTATATACAAGAAAGGGGCCCAAGGAGATTTAAAGATCTATCACTGAATAAGCCTTCTTTCAGTCATCTACAAGGTTTCTATCAAGATAATAGCAAAAAGATTGTTGAGACCATTAAATGATGCCCAGCCAAAGGAGCAGGCAGGCTTCAGAAGTGGCTACAGCACAATGGATCACATCCAGGTTGTTCAGCAAGTCATTGAAAGGCACAATGAGTACACCATGCTTCTGTGTGTGGCCTTCAATGACTATGAAAAGGCGTTTGACTCAGTATTCCAGCCAGCAATCATGAAGGCATTGCTCAACCAAGGCATAGACACTGCTAATATAGACTTACTACAATCAACATATGAAAAAACAATGGCAGTAATTTGCCTTAATGATCTTAAAGTGGAAATCGACATAGTGCATGATAAGGCACAATATCACCTATCAGCCTGCCTTGAATTTCACAACTCAGGCTGGGCAAAAGATGGAATAAAAATCAGTGGCGCCTATTTAAATCACTTAAAATGTGCAGATGATGATGTTCTCTTCTCACAAGATGAAGAAGAGCTACAAAGACACATACAAGGGCTGCACAAAGCAGGAGAGCCATTTGGCTTAAACATAAAACTGAAAAAGAGCCAGGTTATGTTTAATAAATTTACCAAACAAAGAAAAAAAATTATATACCTTGGCCAGCAGATTTCAATGGAAGGTGATACAATAAAGGAAATCGAACAGCATCTTAAATGTAGTTAGTAGGCAAGCTAAACATAATTTTCAAGAACAACCTCCCCCTATGCCTGAAGACAAAAGTTTTTGATCAGTGTGTGCTACCTGCTCTAACATATGCCAGTAAAACACAGACACTCACCACACAATAATACAAAAGCTAAGAGTGGCATGAAGAACCATGAGATGATACATGCTCGGCATCACAAGACAAGATAAAAAGACCTGCACATGAATTAGAGAACAAACACAAGCATACGAGGCCATCAAGAGAGTCAAAGAATTGCAATGGAAATGGCCTGGTCACATTTGCTAAATTGAGGGCAGGTGGACCAAGGCAGTCATAGAATGGATCCCACTTGATAAAAAGCACCCACGAAAAGGACCTAAAACAAGATGGTGAGATGACATCAGAGAGTATTGCAGGCACAATTGGCAAAAGAAAGCTCAGGAATCAGAAGTAGGTTCCTACAGGTTTGAACCAGTTCGGCGGAACTGGTAGTAACTTGGCAGCTTGAGTCACTGGAAACCTGCAGCGACTCAAGCCTGCCACAGCCCTGAATCAGTTCTCTCGGCGGCCCCTATCACCAACTAGCAGGGAAAGAGAACAGCTGGAACATCCTGCCCTGGGCTCTCCAGCCACCCTTAGTGGCCTGACCTCCCCGTTGGCTTCCCCGAGCCTCCTACAACTGAGCCTCAGAACGTGGGCACTGATTTCAGATGAACTCCAGGAGCTGCTGTGGCCTTCAGCCCAAAATCTTAGGGAAGGGCAGCATTTCACCTGATCTGTTTTTCTTACAAACACTTCCAGGGACTGAATTTTCTGTACCCAGAAGCTTCTGCTCATTAATACCAACTCCACATCTTCTTGTTATCAGTAAATCCAACAATACCATAAGTAGGAACCCAAACCTACGTGGTCTTTCTAAAAAAGAATGTGTCTCCTACTGACAGGCCATCATCACAAGGGGTGGCCAGAAATGGAAGCATGGCCAGCACAGTCAACACTAACATTGTCCCTGAAGTGGTAGGCACGATGGGGATGTCTTCTGCTTCTGTGGGGATGGACCAGGGGATCTGGAACTGGGGAGCCATTTCACGCATGATGATGTTCCTGGCAGGGAGAAAAGGGTCTGGTTGGAAATCACCTCTCCCAGTTTTGCAATAGGGCCACCAGCCCCCGAGGCAGACTGGATTCAGACCAATCATGCTCTGGTCCCTTCCTCCTCCCCTTCCAGAGGGGATGCTCAACCGAAGCACCACACACACCCAAGGAGCTTGGCACAGTCATCATAGTACTTCATAGAGTTCTTCACAAAACTGAAGCCATTGACATCACAGACGAAGGACTGGCCATTGGCCCGCAGTAAGTCAAAGCCGCACACTGTCTGCTGCAAAGAGTGAGACGAGACCCAAGGGAAGTGACACAGGGCTCTTTGAGGCACTCTACCAACAGAAGGAGCCCCTCAGCCACACCCTACCACCCTGGCCAGAGGATTGCAGGAGGAGGCGAACACAATAGAGAGCCCCCATTTCTCTGTCATAGTTTTAGCAGGGAGATGCAGGGACAGGATAAAGCAGCACCTACAGCCTGAGACTTCGGAGCCAGGGAGGGGAGGGGATGGTGGGCCCAAGACCTGTCCAGGCATTCCAGGCTTCAGCAACAAGAGCTAAGAACTTCAGGGAGGGCTCCAGGAGGCCACAAGTCAATTGGGAAAGACTAACCTTGAAGGCCACACAGACTTTCCGGGCTACCAGCTTCTCTATGGCTGTTAACATAACTGGGTAGCGGATCTCCTTTCCTTCGCTATCCCGTTCCACCTTCCCATCGAGAGCAGGGGATTTCCGTGCCTCAGCGTGTGCGTAGTCGGGACCCACCGTGTAGACCTGAATAAAAGAACACCAGCAACAACATCACCCCACCCCGAGCTGCCAAGAGGGTCTCAAAGGAACCTTGGTGACCAGTCTGCCTGCCCAGCTCAGAGGACTCCTCTCAACAGGTCCCCACAAACACCCCCTCCTACCTTGACATCCGTGCCATCTGTAGGCATGAACTCCTCATAAATGTATGATCCGGTCTTCCGTACGCTGCTCTCTGGAGAGTAGACACTGCTGCGGCTCCCAATCTGAAACAGTTCGGGAACTCAGCTAGAGAGGCGAGCTGCACCTTGAACGGGATGGGCCAGGAGACCCGGAGCAGGTGGCACCTCACACAAAGGGGCAAAAGGCACCTCCACTTGGACAGCAAGGCCTGAGGCAAACAGGCAGGAGTAACAAAAGCCTGGGAATATCTCCTGGTTTGAAGCACAAAATGTAATGGATTCCTATATATCAGGCTTCTCCAACTCCTGGGCCATGGCCTGTTTCAAACTGGGTCACGCAAGCAATGGGCAAGTGTGCACATACACAAAGCTCCACTTACAAGAATGGTGGGCAAGCACATGTGTGAAGCTCCACTCATACAAGCAGGGGTACTTTTGCTCACGCGTGAAACTCTACTTGCCCAAGCATAGGGCGCTTCTGTGTGAATGTAAATTTATGTGAATATTTATGTGAACTTATGTGAATGGAGCTTTGTACGCAAGCACAAGCACCCTGTGCTCAAGGGCCTCCACTCGCATAAGTGGAACTTCATGTACATGCAAGTGCCCTCCACTCATACACAAAGCACCATTCATGCAAATGGAGACTGTGTGCACCTACCACTCACACCAAAGAAGTTGTGTGCCTGTGTGTGTGCCTACCACTCATACACACACCCCCACACCCCGCACTAGGGCAGACCACCAAGGTGGAAAGGTTGGGGCTGGCTTGCCTTATGCCACTACTTATTTCCTACCAATTGTGTTTAAAATGGAAAAGATGAAGTTATTCCTGTTGTTCAATAAAACTAAAGTACATTCCTATGTACATAACCTCATTACCTTTATTCCAGCCGAGCCAAATCAAAATTGCTTTAATCAAAATCTTAATCAACTTCTGGAATTCAAATTTCCACTTTACTGAATATTCAAAGGAAGGAAAGGTACCCCGGAAATGCACATTATCTTAACTTCTCAAATCTGACACCTGAAAGGGGACCCAACCACAACGAATTGGGAGACCCTGGTGCTAATGACTCACCCCTTCAATATTTGACATTGATTATATTGTGCCCTCTTTGGCTTGGGATTACTGCTTTGGTTGTAACTGTAAAAAAGTATTATTGACACAATCTCCTGAAATAGAGATAATAGCCGGGTACACTGCTATTGGGAATGCCCCTCATCAGACAGAGGGTACCCCAGCCAAAGACTTCTCACCTTGCGGAAAAGGCGCTGGCTGCCCCCGCCAGCCGAAGAAGGATAGTAGATGTAGACATTGTGGTCCTCAGCACTGACTGGCTTTTCCACAAAGGGCTTGGGGAAAATGGCCCCATTGACCTCCACATGGTCCTCCCCCTCCACCAGGCTGCACTCTGCAAAAACACACAAGGCCTTCAGGACAGGAAGCTGATACCCCCCCACCCCCACCCCGCATCAACTTTCTTTTCTTGGGGAGCTATGAAGCCTCCAGGCTTCCCAAACATCCAGGATCATCCTTGGAGGAGGCTGGGTCTGGCTGTGAGTGGCAAGGAGGTGGAAAGGCTGGAAAGCCACTATGCAAAATGGCTGCATTAGGGGGGCAGGGGGCACGCCCAGCTGCAATAAGACCCTTCAAAGGAATTGGGCACACCTGAAGATGAGGCCAGGGGTCTAACTGGGGGTGAGTGAGTGGAGGTAAACCTGTAGCCTACAGAGGATCAAAGAAAACATAGTGCTAGTCTAGATCAGCACTGATGATGTTACCTAGTTTGGGTAATGAAATGTCTGCAAGAAACTCACCAAGCGCAGAGAATACCAAAGAACCCTGAGTTACAAATACTTTCTTTTCTCGATCAAGGAAAGGAGCAGCTCTTTAGCAGACATCAGTCTGCAAAGCCGAGTTTTGAGCCCTTCTAGTGCCTCTTTGCACAAAAGACAGAAGCCTCTTCTTCTCCTAAGGGCATTGGCCAGTGTCCCAGGGCCACCCTTCCTCTAAGGGTGGTTCCTCTAAGGCTCTCTTGGCAATGCTCTGGGCAACAAAGGAGACGGCTCTGCGCAACATGGTGCTACAGTCATCCATTTTCTAGGTTTTCATACTGCCTCTTAGCCCTCGCCAACTATGTTGCACAAATCCAGCCACACTTTGAGCATTCTCAGGCCCTGGTCTACACCTGGGGGCTTAAGGGCAGCCCAAGGGGCACCTTCCTGCTTATCCAGCAACTGACCCCCTTGCCTTGCCTCCAAAGTGGGCCAGGGAGGTGGCTCGGCCCTACTTGCCCCACACTCACCCTCTGGGCGATCAGGGTCCCGGTTGAGCACCGCATAACGAGGCAGGTCTACTCCCTCCTCCTGCAGGATCCGGTATACCTCCCGCCTACAGAGGACAGGAACACAGGCAGGGGTCTCTGGCTGAGGGGACATGACTGATGCCCCCCTGGTGGCCAGAGCACACCTCAGCTTGGCCACATTCGGACCACAGGTAAGCAAGAAATTTTACTTCGCTCCAGTCTGCCTTGCTCTTCCCTGCTGGTGGTAGTAGCCCAATTAAGCAAACTCCGGCTTCTAAGTCACTTCCACCCAAAATGACCCAAAGATCTGGTGGAAGATCAGGGTGCAGATTTGGCCCACTGCTGAAGGTACAACGTACCATGCAGCCCATAATACCCCAACAAGTGTATCCACCTCCACAACCCTACCTGTCCTGGATGTAATATTGCATATCAAGGTCGTTAATCAGAAAAGGGTTGCAGAGCTTGGCATAAGCAACGGCTTTGTCCAGAGGAAACCCTGGAAGATTCAGGGAGGAAAACCATGTTGACCATCAGCTGAGCACCCAGGGAGAAGAGGAGCCGGGACGCCAGCTGGCCAACCTTTGGAGTGGAAGGAGATGAGGCAGTCGCAGGCCGGCCACTTCTCCACCGGCTCGTTCAGGATGACATCTTCCCCCATGATCACCACCGCGATGTATTCAAACTTGCACAGTCGCTCCAGGATTTGTGTCATGGGCTTGGATTTGGACTTTTTGGTCATTGCACAAATGCCAACCACAATCTGCCGTTCTGGAGGCTGCAACAGAGCCACAGCAACAGCAGTGTCACCTTGGGCAATGGGGGGTCCAGCAACACCGGGCTCTTCCTTAAAGTCAGGCACAAAAGCCAAACAAGGAGGAGGCACAGAAATACACACAGGCCCAAACTAAGGAGGACTTGCAAGAGAAGAGGAAGGGGTCCCACCAGGCAGAGCCTTCCCTGCTAAAAGCCCCCCAAAGCACAAGCACAAGAGGAAGCACAGGGCAGCGCCCACCCCCATGATGCCCTCTGGGGGACTTCCAGCCCACTTCCCTGGGCGCCAGTGGAGGGACAACCCCAGCTTCCCACCGCCTCAAAGCCGGCGCTGCTCCTTCCGAGGCAGGCCGAGCAACAAGCCCCTTTACCGACTCTTCCTCCTCCTCCTCATCCTCAAAGAAGGGCAGCTCCTCCATCTTCAGCTCTGCTGCCGGGAAGTCCACCTCCTCATCTGGGCAGCCCAGGAAGAACTTAGCCACGGAAGCGCCCTCCTTCAGCTCGGCCGTCCAGGACGACATGCCAGATCGCGCAGCCAACCATCCCGCTCTGCAACGAGCAGGCCGGCGTCACCAGCGGCCGCCCAAGCAGCCCCGCCCGCCCGCCACCCGCCCGCCCGCCCGCCGGAGCCTTACACTGCCGCATCCTTCGGGCTGCGGGCGGACTCCGGAGGCGGAAGAGGACCGAGCGGCGTCCGGCCTGTCCGCGCCGATCTTCGCAGCCTGCCAGGACGGCGCGCCTTCGGCCGGCGGGGCCGCAGGAGCCACCCGGAAGCGCTCGCGCTCCGGCCGGGCACCAGCGGGCAGGCGGGCAGGCCTCTCGGACGCGCCAGCCCCGCCTGCCAGAGCGGCCGCCGGGCGGGGAGGCGCTTGGCTCGGCCGAGGCTCCGCCCGGCGCCCACCGCCAGACCGCCGCCCGCCTCGCCCGTGGGAAGAAACTGGCCCTGCCCCGGCCCCC